ATATCTCGAGAGATAGAGATCTAGATATCTCGAGAGATAGAGATCTAGATATCTCGAGAGATAGAGATCTAGATATCTCGAGAGATAGAGATCTATGTATGTGTATGTGTATATGTATGTATGTTATTTATATGGGGGGGGGGTGTTAATACCCAACATACTTCTCTGAAAGGTTCTGCAAATTCTCTCCTGGAGTCTTAAAAGGCTGTTTCTGTTCATCTGGACGTAGTGTTTTTAGTGGGAGAAACGTTTAGTCACTCATCCAAGTTACTGAATGTTTCTCCCATTGAAAACGCTACGTCCAGATGAACAGAATCAGCCTTTTGGGATTTACTTCCCTGGATGATTGAGCATGCATCAAGACTTCCCTTCTGGAATTTTATATATGTAATAAACTGTAATTTGGCATCTTAAAAAAATAATGTGCTGTCTTGGTACACAGTAAAAAATAGTTGTATTTTATCATGAAAGTTTTGATTTGCTTAAAGAACACACTGGTGGATTAACCATTATAGAAACATCCAACATTTGTTAATACCAAAAATGCCAACACTATTAATTTAGGCCAGCTGTGGCATAAAGCTCACATTGGGTTAGTAGTCTTATACATTTGTTAAGTAATGCACATGACTACAATATATGCTAACAACTAAAGCCAGTATCAAAAGGTGAGTTTGACCGAGGATGAGGATTTACTTTGTGTAATTCATGTAGAAAGATGTCCAGGCTGTGTTGTCAGCACTTTGCATCAGCTGTGGTTTAAAAGTGCTTTATAAATAAAGGTGGATGGATGAGCAGTATATGGATGATAAATCAGTTTATGTGCATTTTTCCAGGTGAGTGTGATTCCCAAACTGCTGTGGAAGAGTCAGAACTGACACAGTGTGTGGAAGATGTATACAAGGTGAGGACGCAAGGTCTTTACAGACATGTAAAAGCAGGAATGTAAGAGGAGTGAATTTCTTTCATCTAACAGAGCTCTTTGGGAAGGATGTGTCCGGCATTGAGGATGTTGGTGGAGTAGAATAGGGCCATCAAGATGATCTCTGAATGTGCCATCCAGCATCTTCCTAATAACTAGGTCCAGTGTATTCCATTTTTTTTAGCCAGCCTACCCATGCTGCATTATTGTATTGCCTCTTCCTATTCTTCTGCTTTAATCCAGCTGAACTGTGGTCTTTGAGTAACCTGCGTTTGAGTTTCATTGAATTGTTGTTGCAGCTGAGTCAGACATGTCTTCTCAGTGGCGTTGAAGTAGCATAGAAAAAAGTGCTTGTGCGAGTGGGTGAATGAGGCAAGTTGTAAAGCGCTGTGAGTGCTCAGAGTAGAAAAGTGTGATTATAAGAACCAGCGTATTTACCATTTACGAAGACCACAGATTAACTTTTGTAACAGTATCTAGTGAAAACTGCAGAACTTGAATAAATTGATTTGAATGAAATGTCATTAAAAAAGAACCATCAGCTGATTTCATGCCTGTACCTGCAGCTTGTGGCTTTGATAAACAGAATTCTTTCACAGGGTGAATCCTGGTTGTGCTGTTTACTTGATGCTTGTCTTGTGTCTTCTGTTGCTGCCAGGTCTGCATGGTTGAAAACACTCCCTCAGCTTCTCTTCTCAGAGCTCTAGAAGAAGTTCTTCCTGTTATCTTCACACTCTTCTGTTTTACCAAGAAGAATGTTTCTCACCTCCGGTAAACATTTTCTGTTTTTAGCTGCGATTTAACTTTGTTTCATTCTTCAGCTTCTTTTTTCATCAGTTTGTGTATTTAAATGCATTTATGCCTTAGAGCAGCGGTCCCCAATCTTTTTTGCGGTGCCGAAAAAAAATAAGTTTTATGCATAACACATGTGAAAAGACCCAGGAAAACCGAGTCAACCATAAAACCGATAGTAAAATAACGCTAAAAAAACGATAAAACCCTGAAAAGCATGCATTTCACACCTGAGCCTCAACGCTCGCGGCCCGGTACCAAACGACTCCGTGGCCCGGGGGTTGGGGACCGCTGCCTTCGAGTGTGTAATGGATGTGGCTACAATAATATTACCCTTTGCCGTGTGGATCACTGCTAATTGGTTGGATACTTTGACCAACTCTTTTTTTTCTAAACCTGAGTTGACCATTTTGGAAGAAAGGGTTGAAGGATTCAGTTTTGGTCTTAGTGTAATCACAATTAAAATGCTGCTCAACAAACATTTTTAGTCACTAATTTTGTTGGAAAAGTTAAACTGATACTGGATGTAGTACACAGTAATTACCTGTGTGCGCTCTGTGCTCCACAGCGCCCCCTGTCAGGAGATCTTGCTGTGGTACTTGACCCACGCTGAGATGTCTGCAGCCTTGTCAATGCTGAGGCAGCTTTCAGGTCTCCAGAGAGGGAATAACCAGGTGGCAGCAAACTTCCACTTCACTGCTGGCAGTGAAGGAGGGGCCAGGCTCAGCTGCAGAGAGAGCTGCAGGTAATGATGTTAAACATACAGATGACAGATCCTAAGTATTAAAAACCTTAATTTAAAGTAAAAAATAAAAGCACAGCAATGTAAAAATGTTACATTACAAGTAAAATGTTCAAGTTTTACAAGTTAAGTGTTTATTAATACATCTTTAATGACATGCAAAAATCTGAATTTGTTTTTGGTTTTCGTCTGATCCACAAGGTGTCGACAGTATACAAACAACAAGAAGCAGTCGAACAGCACAAAGCTGACAGGCAGTGTTTAGTTTTAAGGGAATATTGTTTTATTTTGCTTTCAAACATTGTGCACAAATAGGTAATGAACATTTGGTATTAATTGGTAAATAACTGTACATGAACCACTTGAGCTTGTTATATAATTTTATACTATAGTATATTTCTAATTAACTAGGCAGCTTATTTCAATGCAAACACAGGCAGTATTTGGCCTTGCAGAAGAGGTCAGAGGTCCAAAGTAATATAATATTTAGAATCTCATTATATTGTTCCCTATATGCTTACATAAGTTGTCAATATGAAGAATTAAGCATTAAGAAACATAGTTTGCCTCTGTATTTGAAAATCGCATATCATCTCATAAGGGAGGTGATTTAAAAATGGGGCAAGTTAGAATAATGAGGGATGTATGTGTGTGATCACTTATAATGACTGGTTTTATTTAACCAAACATTAATGGGGCGTCTAAAAAAACATAATGCTTAAGCAGAGTAGTATATTAAATATGTTATTTTCTTTCTGATGCTGTTTCCCAGTGACGAAGATGATGAGATGTATGAGAGACTGTCAGGGGACCAGTGGAGAGTGGAGTGTCTGATGCACCTGCTGGCTGAGCTCAAAGACTGTGATCTGCCAGGAGACTTTTTCCTTGACCTGCTGCAGGTAAACAGGGATGCACGAGGATAGACTGCTGACCTATGATGGTCAAAAGTGAGGGTTACTTCCAGCATTCAATCATTACCTCTCAGTCTTAAATGACTGATGAAATATTATTATCACCCTGCCAGGTGGAAACCCAAGTTTGTGAATGCAATAACTTGATAACAAGGCAACATAGGATTTTGAAATTCATACCGTAGGTGCATCTACTAAAAATCTTTGTTTGAAATTAAGTGACCTCTACTTCAAGGTGACCTCTGACCTTGACCTCAAAGCCCCCACTCCTAGGACCCCACCAAGATGGACCAGTCAACGATCCAAGTCAACTCTTACATGTCCTCCAATTTCCTGATTTCCTGAAAGAATAATGAATCTAATTAGTTGAACAACCAAATATTGCAGTGAAAATCAGAACAAAATGTTTTAATTTGCTTTATTTATATTATTTTTTTGGCCATTTTCATTTAAATATGGATCGGTTTTAAAAGAACTGAACCTCATAAATAGTGCTTATGTGAGCTTTCATCAGCCTCAGTTGAAATTGATCATTTTATGTAGTTATCATTGGGAATTGGAGTGTTTTATGTCTAGATTATATTACAGTGTTTGCTCTGTGACAGAAAGCAACCTCAGATAACTTTGCTCCTTCTGTAGGAGCTCACCAGCTGGGCCGTTGCAGATGAAGAAACAAAGGATGAAGAAGAGGTTGACATGTCGGCCATGACGCTGCTGGAAGTGGAGCAGCAGCTACTGGGTCGAGCTGAGAAACAAGCCCAAAGACTGGCTTTGCTTCATGTACTGGCTACGATGGTTGAGTCCCTGCAGCACGCTCATCTCCTGAGAAAAACAACACAGGTGAGTGGAGACATACAGAAACGCATGAAATTAGTCTTAAAAGGTACACAGATCTGATGTGATCCAGAGGTGTAAAGTACGACAATGATTGTGTATATATTTTGAGCAGAAATGAGTGTACCAGTCCATACACTAAAAGAGGGCAAGTTAAACACATGTAGCAGTATTTTACAATTGCTTATGTGAAAATGTTAACACTGATAATTTACACACACATTTCAATCAATGTCAAAAATCAGATTATTTCTGCTCTCAAAAATCTTCTTGTGCATGCAGATGTCTTTAAAAAATAAATACATTTCTGACATTCTTTTTGCTCATTTACGGATTCTTAAATATGTGTGCACGATACACACAGGTCACATGTGTAGATGGGGTTTGAGGCTCCTCAATGTTTCAGTAATATAATGTTTGTTCAAGTACTAGTAGGAAACGGGGAATTCAACTTCCTGTGAATTCCTGTTTTTCTAAATAAGCAGAACGACTGATCACCCCTCTACTAGAAAACATACATTTACCACTACCAATATTTTACTCCATCTCTGTCACCTGTATAATCTGTCACTATTAACTTTTTTTTTTTTATTGCTCAGTATTAGTGTATCAATCCAAGCATGCGTGTGTGAGTACTCAAAATGTAAACACTAATCACCGTACACATTTTAAAATCTTAGTTTATCCTTGTGAATCTATTTTTACACGTGTAAACCTTTGTTTTTACTAATTTCGCTCTATGCAAGATTTGTGAGTGGAGATAATGAGATCTTATGCAGCACTCCATCACTTTGCTTCTTGCTCAGACAGACCTTACTCACCTTGGGGTCGTTTTCCTGCTGAAAAATTAATGATTTTCCCAGTAAGATCAAAGCTGTGCTGCAGCATGTTGTGGTAGCCATGCTGGTTAAATGTCACCTTGAATTCTCAAATAAAGCTTCTGGTCTGGACCTTCTGGACCTAACACAACATTTATACAGCAAGCCATTACCAGATTGGATTTGAATTGATTCGATATATGTAATTTAGTTTCTCCTAGACAGAAGGAACAGAATGGATGTCTTCAGTGTCATTTTTCCTAAAGCAGATGACTTCAGTTTTGCACTGTCACTGTCAGTTGACGGCACAAGTGGAGGGCTGTTACTGGCTTTGGAGCAGTTGGGACTTTAATGCATCGTTCTTCGTGCAATCGAACCGAAAGCAATATTAATATGTGCAGTCCTCAAAGTTGTAGACACAAAACCTGAAATCAGGTGAAAGGACACATTTATTACCCATCAGTTTCTGGAGTTCACATTTTTGGACCTCACCACACTTACCATGTTAGTTTTTGGAGGCCGTGCTTGGATGAGAAGATAGAGGGCTAAATTACTGGTCAATGCTGAGAAGCTTGGTTATCAAGATGCATCCACACACTGCACAGGTGCAACACACAGACACTCATTTCTGCTCATTTGTACAAAGTGAAAGGCTAAAAAAATACTATAATTTTATTTCCCAACAGTGAAGCATAAACTTCTTAGAAGTTTCAAAGAAAAAGAAAAAATGTAAAAATAATCCATCTAAATTTTTCAGCTTTGGGTATAAATTTTAGTACTTTATTAGTATGCTATTTATGATAGTATTTGTTACAATCATATACACCTATGCTTGCTAATATCTTTGCACTTCACCCTTTTCAAATGAATTTTGTCACTTCAGTTTTTCAAATTGCTTTTGTTGTTTTTAGTTTTTCTGCATTTGCCTCCCTGATGTTTCATCACTGAGCAACTGACCCTTGTCTGGGTTTGTTATAGGTTGTGGACTTTATGATGTCTCTGCTCCAGAGGGCCTGTGCGGGCCTGGATCAGACCGCTGGGCTGAATGCTGGCAGTGCAGCAGAGAGCCAGACACTGAGAATGGGGATGGGTCTGGTGTCTGCGCTGTTGTCTGAGCCTCAGGTATGCACAAGTGACTGATAACTCCATTCTGCTGCATGTGGCTCTTTCACGTTCAGTTCATCATGTTCTGTAGTTTCATTTTTTGTAGCTTTGATTATACATTATATTTGTACAATAACAGAGTATCTGCAGGTCTTGAGCATTAATTTTGCTCAAGACAGCAGCTTCAGTTAAATTTCAAAGGTCATTTTCTATGTGTTTTTATAGACGGCTACAGTTGGTAGTTGTTTGTTATTTTGGGGGGTTTTTAAGAAAGGTTTTTAATTACCTCCAACCATAAAAGGTGATGTAGGAGCTTCAAATTGTTAATCTGGGCATATCTACTAAATATCTCAGATGAGTCCAAATCTCAGTGACCTCAACCTCTCAGAGGTCACTTTTCCTGAAAATCTAATGAATGCAATAACTTGAGAAAAAGGAGATAAAGAATTTTGAATTGATACCATAGGTGTGTCTTCTAAGAGGCTGAGAGGTAGCACCGGTGGTCGCCAGTAATTTTAAGTCATTCTAAACCTGTGATGTTCATATGTTGACTTTGTTTTACAAAATGCATTCCTCTATTTCTTGCTGCTTATCTGCTATCATGCCTCACATAACACTAGATAGCTTTTTAAAAAAACATTTAGAATTTTTATTTAAGGAACGTTTTGAGACTCTGAGGATGTACATATGCCTGTTATATGGAGATCTAATCAGGTAGTATAATTCCAGCTTTAGCTATTATGTACTTCTGTGTACATGTGCAAACAATTTGAAATCTGTTTTTTGAAGAACATTAAAGCAACATTTTTTAACACACTTTATAACAGTAAATGCATAACAGAAACTCTCAAGAAACCCTTACATTTGACTTTACAGTTCAGTGTGGAGGACTACTTGTCGATGTCAAAGCTGCTGCCACCTCTGGAGATACTCTCTCAGCAGCATCCTGACGTGATTATTCAGGAGCTAGCGTCCAACCTGAGAGTGGTCATTGCCACTCACGGGGCGTACCGCCCTGACGGCAGCAGTGAGGCTATCTCTGTCACTGACGCACCGCCCCCCAGAAACCATAAAACAGCTGTAAAAAATGTAGTGAAAGGTGAAGCAAACGACTCTCATAAACCTGCCCAAAGCCATGAAAGACTTACAGCATCTTCTGGAGGGTCAGGAATAAGTCCAGGATGTGAAGGACAGATCTCTGGCTCCAGTGACTCTTGCCCTCCTTCCAAGCCCATCTCTGACTGGCTGATAGAAGCATGTGACCCAGACGTGCCAACAAGAGCGTACGCCCTGAGGGTACTGACACAAATGGTGCAACATAGAAACCCAGAGGCCATCCAGGCGCAGGAGAAAATCCTGACGGTAAGTTACCTGGTAGCTGCTCTGTTTGTTTGGGGTTTTTTTTGACTTTTTTGGTGTTTTCATTTTTTTGTTCTGTTCTTTATTTTTTTTTAATTTTTTTTTTAACTTAGGCTTTTCTTTTCTTTTTGTTTGTCAAGTTGAGTAGATGTTATGTTCTTCACATTTGCAAGTCCTGTATAAATTAAAATTATAAATTAAAATTTTAGGTAGAGAAATTTGATTCAAGTACTTCAAAATAAATTAAATGATTATCCACACATATAGTATACAGGAGTTGGTGTGGCCTGTGTAGAGCGGGTGAGATACTGAAGCATTAGTTGCTCCCAGTGTGTTCATCTTAGTGTGACTGTATGTCAGTGTTAAATAGAAAAAACATTTAGACATTAAATAGAAAATCATTATATAAGAACCAGTATCATTACCATTTACAGCACTGTACAAAGGTCTTCAGCTACCCCTCATTTCTGTATATATTTTGCTAGGAGGATTGGTACTGCGTCCAGCAATTTATTAAAAGTTGTTTAAACTGGTCACGAGCTGTGGGTAGTGACCGAAAGTACGAGATTGTGGATACAATCGGCAGAAATGAGCTTCTTCTGAAGGGTGGCTGGTCTCTCCTTTAGAGAGAGGGTGAGAAGTTCAGCCACCCGGGAGGGGCTCAGAGTAGAGCCGCTGCTCCTCCACATTGAAAGAAGCCAGTTGAGGTGGTTCGGGCATCTGACAAGGATGCCTCCTGGGTGAGGTGTTCTGGGCATGTCCCACCAGGAGGAGGCCCTGGGGCAGACCCAGGACACACTGGAGAGATTATATCACTCCATAAGACCTGTTATGCCTCCCATGGTGTACTAGTTAACACTTTCACTTGGCAAGTGAAAGGTCACTGCTTTGATGTCAGGAAGGGCATCCAGCTTGAAGCTTTGCCAAATCATGCAGGGGAGCAGCTAACGTAGCTTTTACTCCAAAAAACCAGTTGTCACTGATTCTCAGCCCAGTTCTTGAGTAATTTAGCGTACCATAGCTTTTCCTCCCAGTTTCCCTTCCTATGGTTAATAATGGCTTCTTGACATCTACTCTTCCATTGAGCTCATTTCCGTTTAGGCTTTTGTGAACAGCTCTCGAGTCTGTGTCAAGTGTTAGATGGATTTTTTTTCTTTTCCATGTTCATCTGGTGTATTTTTTTTGGCACACATACAATAAAATCTGTCACAGTGTGTTATTGTTTCAAAAAAAATGTGAGCACTGGCAATATCTTTGTCTCTTGAGACTTCTATAATAAATGAGGGAGCTGAAGCTCTTTGAGACAGCTCAAAAGAGCTTTGAGCTCTTGGGGCTTGTTAAGATGGTAAGAGAAGATACCAACTAATGTATTATTCTATTTGATCAGAAGCCCATCCCCTTCAACCATCCTTCAGCAAAACCCCCCTTTATTGATTTTTCTGCCTTGTCACACAGTTGAGTTTTCTAGAGGTCACTTTTCATGTGTACTGTCCTTTCTGCTTATTTTAACTGAAACTACAGTTTAAAAAAAAAAAAGTTGTTTGTTTGATGTATGGAGTGGTGTGTATTCTTCTTGGCTCTGCTGTTTGTATGTGTTTTAATGTTGTGTGTGTTTTTTACACAGTAGACCATGTGGTTATAAATCATGCTGATGGTCTATTTTTCTCCAGCTCTTCTTAGAAAGCCTGGAGCATGTAGACTCATTCGTCTACCTGTCAGCCATTCAAGGTAATCTAGTGATTCATCCCAATGTTGATGAAGTATTCAGATGCTGCTGATGATTGATGGACTCGTTATAAACCGTCTTTAGGTCTGGCTGCATTGGCTGATTCCTACCCTGACAAAATACTGGAACGGCTCCTAAAAGACTTCCAACATGGACCCTCCCTCCTTTCCTCCAGCAAAGAGCGCTCCGTGGAAACCCGCCTTAAAGTGGGAGAGGTCCTGATGAGGACAAGCAGGGCCATGGGTGAGCGTCATCAGATTCAACTTAACAGTTATGCTGTGATGTTACTTTGTTGTTGTTGCTTCTGTTTCATGTCTGTCAGTGCTGTGTGCTCTTGTGTGTTGAATCAGGATCTGAACGCACTGTTGTGACAACATTGCTTTTTTTCTCTGATGAGCTCTATAGACTCTCTATAAACTCATCTTATTTCTGTATATATAAAAAAGAAAATAGGTCAAAAGATAAGAATAGCAAGACAGAGCACAAGTGGAAAAACACAATGTGTCTCTAATAGAGATGGACCGATCGGATATTACGTATCGGTCTGATACTGACCTAAATTACTGGATCGGATATCGGAGAGAAATAAAAAATGTAATCCGATCCATTAAATATCACAAAAGCACCTCAGAAGACTTGCGACATGGCGTAACTCGGCTCATAACCGTAGCACGTCGGAGCAGTGTGCATCACGTGATAGAGCGGCTGTGGCTTGCCAGACCTCTCGGCGGTCTGGTTGAGCATTTGTAGCCTCGCTACCAGCCCGGCATTTCATCTGAGGAAGTGATCCCAAAGAGAAGTAAAGCAAGTGTGTCAGTTCATCTCTGAATGTTTGTAAAGCATTCCTGCGTTAAGCTTAACAACCGATGGAGCGACTGCTTCTTCTCTCACCCTCCCTCTCCTGTTGCTACTTCAATCATGAAACCGATCAATGATCAGCTGATCGGCTTTTCTGTCGCGAGTCCGTGTCTCTTGTTTGTTTATCGCCCACTTTGCGCCAGAAAGAGGAAACCAGCGGCTGAACAACAGCAGCACGTTTAAACTTGATAATCTGTTGTTAGAATGTATTTAATATTACTTTCTAGACCAGGATCATTTTCTACGTAGCTGACGCTGGTAACTGTGCAGGGGCGGATCTAGCAAAGTTGAGCCAGGGGGGCCGATAGGGCATTAACAGGGAAAAGGGGGCACAAAGACATACTTTTCTTTCTTATTCTCATTTAAAATGTCTAGCTTTTAATAATTATCTGAATCTTACACCCAAAGTTTTAATCTGATGTAAAATGTATAGAAGTCCATTACTGTATATAGTAACTATTAAGTCTAATATACCCTAGTAAGCTATAGTACTTTTTCCTTTGGGAAGGTACCATCTGTGCAGTCTGCAATTTTGTTGAAGAAAGATGTTGAATCTATTTAATATTTCTTGAAAAATAATTGATTTCTGTGCTTTTTTTTCCCACACTGCATCAAATTAAGGTTGATTACGTCGATTAAGCATCATGAGGTGGAGCGTGAGGGGTGGTTCCCTTTTTTCTTCATTTGTGCTGGGAGTTGGAACCCTATTAGTTAGGTTGTTTAATATTTCTGCTAAGTACTCTTTAAAATACCAGAATAGGGAGGATGGTGCAGGTTTAAGTTTATTAGCTTGATGAGTGTTGCTGAACTATGAAACACTTTGGGTGCAGTGTATTTTTTGAATACAGGTATAACAGAGTAGCTTTAGTGTTTTGTTTTTTAAAACTTCACTATGAACTTATACACAATGCAGCAAGATATTAGAAAAACAGCTTTATTGATTAAAAATACACTATTGGATTCATATCGGTATCGGCAGATATTCAAATTTATGATATCGGTATCGGACATAAAAAAGTGGTATTGTGCCATCTCTAGTCTCTAACTGCTGCACCTATAAGAAAACGCATACAAGAACGCAGCAGCTGACCACAATCTTGTTGGTGTGTGTCTCTGCGTGTGTGTGTGTGTGTGTGTGTGTGTCTCTGCGTGTGTCTCTGCGTGTGTGTGTGTGTGTGTGTGTCTCTGCGTGTGTCTCTGCGTGTGTGTGTTTGTCACCAATTATACTTGGTAATGATGGAAGAAGAAGCCACACTAACTGTGTCTAGGAGCCAGAGGCAGACAGAGAAAGACCCAGGAGACCTGAGCCATCTGCAGCCTCCAGACTATGAAAAATCTTATTTAAAATTAGAATGAAATGGTTTATATGGTGTATATATCTTAAGGCATAAAATGTACCTGTACTCGACCTCTTTGACATTAATAATAGGCAAGTTTTTGTGTTGCTGAAGACCGATGGTAATTAATATTAACAATAATTCACTTGTCATGTACGTCTTTATTGGCTTGTGAAAGTAGCTTTTATTTTATTTCACATTTTTAATGCAATTTAATGAATACAATATTTTATATTATTTCCCTTTTAATCTTAATAATCTTGTGAAATCCTTGAAACATGGTCTAGTACACCCATGCCCCCCTTTAGACTCGCCCCTGTTATGCAGAATAGGACAGCTGCCATCAGCCTTCAATAAGCTGTATAATTTAAACATGCTCTCAGATTAAGTTAACAGTTCATCAGCATATTTTAAAACATCTGGAGGCTTACTGCAGATTTTTCACTGTGTAAAACAAACTGTGTGGATGGAGCTCGTGCTAGGTTTTTCCCAGTAAAGGTTTGAAAGGTGGTTACGGGAGCAGCGCTGCTGCCTGAGCTCAGTGTGTCGGTAACGGCTCTGCCTCTTGGCTCTTCACAGTGTGTAAACAGACTCTGGCTCCACGTTAAACTACACCAGCATCATTATCACTGCTGCTGTTGTGTTATCAGGTTTCTAATAATTGCTTCTGAATATTTTTGTATCACAGGTCTGTTTTTGGTTGCAAATGTGGGTGACACGCTTGCATTTACATTGTTTAACACAACAATCAGGTGTGTTGACCCAGGGTGATATCTAAAACCTGCAGGACACCGGCCCTTGAGACCTGGAGTTGCCCACCCCTGCCTTAAATGAAACATCGAAGAAAATAATTTCTGACAAGAATTTTTTATAATAGAATTTCTCGATGAATCGTTGCAGCCCTAGATGTAATATTCGATTTAGTCATAATCAACATACTCAAAAAGCTGTACAAAACAGGAAATGACATTTTCACACCAAAAAGTGCTGACCAAAGAGCTAGCCACCTGACACGTTGGTAAAACATGGCACATGTCTGCATGGTGTGCTGTGTGTCCTTAAAAAACTGAGGAAACTGGACGAGTGAAGGGTAAAAGAAGTGTCACGTCTAAAAGCTATCCACAGCAGATAAACAATATCTGAATATCATGCCCTTAAGAAACGGGTAAAAAAGTGACTACTTTGTTGTAGTCATCACAGCCACACAAAAACCACAGTGCACGCTTGTTTTCTTTGCAGATCCCCATCAGAAGGAACCCTGTGTATAAAAAATCTTTCCTGACAGAACCCCCCCACCCCCACCCCACTCTGTTTTACTGTGCCAGATTGCCATCGTACCACTTCTCTGGGACAATTAGATGGTTTATATCCTTGCTGAGAGATTGGATCGAGATTCAGTTTGTTGCACAGGCACCCAGAGAGCTCCTCTGTTTGGCTAAAATGCTCCCACAAGACTGGCCAAGATTTGGCTTTTGCCAGGCCATCGTTTTTAAGTAAGAAAGTTCTCTTAATTGACTTGCCTGGTTGAGCAAATGTTTAATAAATGAATGTTTGGTTTGCTAACTGTGGCTGGCTTAATGGCCTTGCACAGTCCTGTGAACTCTCATAGTAACCAGTGATAGGACATGTACTGAAAGGGAAGAGCTCTGAACCAGCTGCTGTTCTCAAAACATGATGTTTAGCAGGATGTACAGGAAGAGGACGTGCAGATGTATTTGTTGGAGTGCATCAGTTTTACCAGCTTTACCAATGTTGAATATTAATGTGTGTAGTTGAGACACACACTGATACAAGTATGGACTCTAAAACAGCATTTCTCTTTCATGGAGTCTGTTAAAGCAAGTTGTGACCGGCTAGTGAAAGATGGAAATGTAGTGAGAGCAGCTGAGCTGAAAAAAGGCTATTGTAGAACAAGCTAACATCATTAAGGTGCAAGGTGTCTGTTTCTGGATAAGACAAATCTAACTGGCTCTGTGAACTCCACATCATAACTTGTGACGTAACCAGAAACCCCTTTGACCCTGTTCAGTTACTTTACTTGGGCTCCCACTTTGTGATTGAGTGGTTCTGAAATGCTTTCACTTTGCTGTAATACTGATTACAGTAAATCGTGGAATATCTAGAAGGAAAAAAAATGTACAAATTGACTGTTGCAGTGGTGGCATCCTATTACAGTACCATGCCTGAATTCACTGAGTCCTTTACAATTAGCCCACTCTTTAACAAATGTTTTTAAAGGCAGACTGCATGACTAAGTGCTTAATTTTTATACATCTGGAAATACCTGGAATCAAATATTAAGAGGTCATCCCAGTACTTTTGTCCATATATTGTATTTTCCACAGAAGATGACTACAATCACCTAGAGAACCACAGACATGACATCCTCTGATAAATGGTCAGTTTTATGGAGCCTTAGATCTAACCTGTCTGCTTGATGTTTCTCCTTTAGGAGAACTAGCTCCCCACCTTGGCCGTCCTCTGGTGGGCATCTTCCTGCGAGAATCCAGAGACCCTGACCAAAGCATCCGGGCTAGCAGTCTGTCCAACCTGGGGGAAATCTGTCAGAGACTGGACTATTCCCTGGGGTCACTAGCTCAAGAGGTAGGGTTAACCAATAGACAATAGAAAATAAACACATTAACATTTCTAAGAACCCATTAAGCAAAAAACAGGTTATTGTTAGAGTATAAATTAAATGGCATGAAATTCTAGAGGCTTCATCTGACTCCTGTTGCTCAGGAGGTAGAGCGGGTTGTCTACTGATCAGAAGTTTGGTGGATCGATCCCAGGCTGCTCCAGTGTGCGTGCCAGATATTCTTGGGCTAACCCCATGTTGCTCTCTGCTGCCTGCATCCATCGAGTATGAACGTCTGTGAATGTTAGATAGAAAAGCATGATTCTTGTATGAATGGGTGCTTTGAGTGCTCCTGGAGAGTAGAAAAGATAGAGAACTCTCAGTCCAGTCACCAAATCAAACAAACAGCTGTACAGCTTCAACTGACAAAAATAAAACCAACAAGATTTTACAAATAAACATTTTACAGCATGATATAACTCATGCCTCATACAGGACAACCGATGGAACAATAATTTACAATAGAAACGGTGAAAAGATAATTAGTAAAATAATTGAGTTGAACAAGTGGGTTTTCAAGAACTTTGGTTTAACTTCACTCTGTAAACTGGCTGACATGTTGGTTCCATGCTGCAGCCAGCTGGCATGAATGAGCCACCTCTGTATATGTCTGCAGCACACAAACAGATCTCACTCTAAATATACTGAATGTTTGTCCTGAGATGCACAGCTCAGCTCTATAGTGACTAACTCTTTGTAATTTTTCAATGTTGTTAAATTAACAGACTTCATGTCTGTAATATTACATAGATACTGAAATGAAAACTGCAAAACTCACAAAAATACTGAAAATACAGCAGTTCTTTCAACCAGGCTGCAATAACCAACCAGATGTATTTGTGATTATCTTGCACAGAGCTGCTGTAACTGCTCTCAAAATATTACCTACCAAACCAAAATAAAGATGGTAGGTATTTAAAATAAATCAAACTGCACTAAGTCCTATTGGGAAAATAATTTTCTGTTTCTGAAATGTGAGACTCCATGCTTCCAGTTATCTACAGTTGTGTTATCTGTGCTTGTTAGTTTAAAGCATTATTAACTGTTATTATCTGTCGTGGATACACTTTGTACAAATATAATTCCCCATAAATTGGGACACTTGTGTAAAATAGGAACAGATACATTGGACAAGGAATGCAATATTTTACATTTGACTATTTCATATTTGATGACATCAGCATGACTAAAAAAAAGTTGGGACAGGTGCAGCAAAACGCTGGAAAAGTGCTAAAAAGAACATCTTGCATTCTGTTTTTGTGCAGATTAGCTCCTGTCTGACATCACTGATAAAGACGGAGAAGGAGGCAGAGGTGAGGAGAGCTGCTGTCCACGTTATTGCGTCGCTGCTCCGTGGTCTTGGGGACAAAAGCACACAGGTACACTCTCACAGCTCACTGGGTATTTTTAAAAATGTCTTAGGAAGCACTGGATTCAGTTTTCTAAACCTAATGCCAGAAGACCTTAAGATGAGATGTTACTTCATATTTAGTCGGTGTATTACTGGGGACCCGCGTAAGGTGCTATTGTGAATAAATGTTTTATTGAATGTTCTATTATTGTGACATTAACACAGTTCCATAAGGGGTGTTTCTGACAGTGCTGGGCTGTTTTTACAGACAACAGGCACAAGACACGTTTTTTTTGTTTTCTTTTGTTTTTTCCATGTTTGATTGCGTGCAATTTGCAGTAAATTGTGTGCCTTAAACTTTTTAATTAACATTTACGTGACTCATTTAAATATTTTTCTCCTAAAAGTGAAACACTTGCAAATGTGCAAATACGCTTCAGTTTGAGGTCGGGCTGTTAGCTTTTTCTAATATTTACATTTAAGTGTGACAAACATGCCAAAAAATAGGAGATCAGGAAGGGGGCAAACACTTTTCCATGTTTTGTAGTCCATTTTCTCCACATCCTGCATATTGTCATTTCAACATCCGGACATCATGTTGTTAATGAGAGACTAATGTAAGGTCGTTTTTATTCTCGGAACGCTCTTTTCGTTTCCTAAGTCCTTTTCAAATTTCCTACCCACTTTTGCTTGACCTCGATGCCGTTTTCATCAGTGACGTTTTTATCGAGGTCAAGGAAAAGAGGTGGGGAAGAGGAGGAGGTACATTTGGAGTGCACCAGGCAGAGGAGAGATAAAAATAAAATCCAGTGAAGTCGCACAGAGAGGACTGGGGGACCATGACGTAAAACTTATTTCTTTAGCCACTTTCGCTCTGTCTTTTTAGCTGTAAGTGGAGTCAGCTACACAGGTGATTCACTAGACCAGCAAGCTGGTTAGCAACTAAATCCAGGGAAAACCGTGAAAGCAGGGAAACAGTCAGAGAACTAACTAGAAATATCTCAGGATGAAACAACAAAAGCACACCAAAGAGTCCTGGGGTCTGTTTCTTACACAGAACCCCCCCACCCCCACCCCCACCTCACCTAGCAACCCATAAGAACCAATCAGCACAGTACATCCTTACAGTTCCTCTGTCTATGGCCAAACTGATCAAAGCCATGAAAAAGAGCTAATAATAATAGGCTGGTGGTTTTAAAGCTGTAGTAGCTGCTGCTAATTGTATGTAAAAAGCTGGCTCAGGTGTTATATAGCTTTTAATCACCTGTCATGACCCCAGTGAAGTGGCTAGCTGTTTGACTTAGTCCAGGTTGTATAATTACTGGAACAGCTGGAGAATGGTGACACCAGCTGCACAGCACTAATGACACACAGTGACATTATTGGAAGTCAAGACTGGGAAGAAACCAGAAGGACTGTTTAACCCCCTCACCTCCCCCAACGACAGAATCCATTTGAAATCTGGAACATTATTTTTTTTAATCATAGTTTTCAAGGTAAATTAGAAATAGTAAATGCTGTGTTCCTACTTTATTTAATCAGACCTTAAACCAAATTATAACAATAACTATATCTATCTAAAATCTAAAATTCCAGATTTTATGTAAACTGGTTCCCACTTTATGTAAAAATGGGTTGTGTTGATTAAACTACTTTAAGCAACTTTCCAAGGTAGCAGTTGCCTTACAGTATAAGGGTCTGGATTCAGGGCAATTATCAATTGGTAATATAACTGGAAACGATATATTTTGGTCAATGTTGAGACCAACAAATAAAGTTTTCCTTGGCTTTGAATTTGACGATACTTTAAATAATGTCTAATAGAAAAAAGCAAAAAAGGCAACTAAAATAAACCTGCTAAAGCTCGGTAAATATGAATGAACAATAGTTGAAGTACAAATAAAAAATGAATGTAGTTCAGTTAAGCAGACTTTTTATTAAGTAACCAATTACTATTATGCTTTTTTTTTTTTTTAAGTGTATGGGAGGATAAGGAGTGTTTTGAGTCATATTGTATGAAATGGACTTGGTAGCAAACTCAGCACCCCCACATTTGTGTCACTTTAGTGTCACCTTTTCCAAAGTTTCATTAGTGTCTGTCTCCTCCAGGTTCTCAGTGATGTTTTGTTGGACCTGTACCGAGCTCTCAAATGGGTGGTTAACTCTGACCTGGATGAGGTATCTGTGCTTCATGCCCACCTGGCTCTGGAGGAGCTTGACGACATAATGAGGAAGTTCATCTTCCCTGAGCAGAAGCTGGAGAAGAAGATTGTCGTCCTACCATAGAACTAATTTCCGTGGGCTCTTTGCACTACAATTTATGCCTCCGTGTAATGTGGATTAAGTCTTCAGAAATGTGGTTGACCACAAAGAGCAGAAAATCCTACATCCATGCATACCAAGGACTGTGACCTAGTGTACCACCCTATTCCACAATAAATTTTTAAGCATATTTTCTGTGATTTGTGATTTGAAATATGAAAAATATTTTAACTTTAGATTTATGTGAATTAAATACTGTAATAATACTGACTTTAATATATATTAATGTTGAATAATAATCCCAAAAAGGTTGATTCGGTTCATCTGGACGTAGCGTTTTCAGTGGGAGAAATGTTTCGTCACTCATCCAAGTGACTTCTTCAGTCTCAGCTGACTGCAGGTTTCCCCAATCTTATAAACAGTACATTTCCACAGTGAGTGAAACTAGCACCCTTTAATGAACAATGGACTGTGAGGTCAGGTCATTGATCATTAATATGCAAATTGTCATGACCACTGATTAACAACCATTGATCAATGGCCATGAGTACAATTTACACAGAGTTGGCATTGTAAGAACGTGAAAAGACCCCTTGTCTGTCAACTCGGTCACCTATAACAGCTCAAAGTTTTTGGCTTCGATCCTCAACCCCTTGGTAGGCAGCTCTAAACACCACCACCCACTACAAACGCTACAACCAGATGAACAGAATCTACTTTTTGGGATTTCCTTATGATTGAGCACGCATGAAGATGTTAAATAATATTCATATTGTATACCACAAAAACTATAAAACTTTAAGCCCAAAGAAAACCTCATGCCACAGTACTGCCCTGAACTTCTGCACATTATCACACATTATCACACATCACACATTTGCACTTCTCTCCACTTCACTACCACAGGCCTTTCTAAAGTATGGGAGGCCATTATCATAAACAAAAAAAATTACATTGAGATTGTCAAAGAAGAAATTTGCAAGAGAGGAAGAATCCAAATTCTGATTGAAATATGCTACAATTACATGGTAATAAAATAATTCAAATCAATTTTTTACAATGGCGCCAAATCGCAGCAACAGTTGCCTCAGGGCACTTTATATTGTGAAGACCCTACAATAATACAAAGAAAACGGACAAAACCCCAACAATCATGTGCATTTATATAGCGCTTTTCTAGACGCTCAAAGCGCTTTACAATTCCACTATCATTCACTCTCACATTCACACACTGGTGGAGGCAAACCACAGTTGTAGCCACAGCTGCCCTGGGGCAGACTGACAGAAGCGAGGCTGCCATATTGCGCCATCGGCCCCTCTGGCCAACCCCGGCCTGGAGGCTGCAGTCTGTGACCAGCTCCCGGTGCAGACAGCTCCGTGTGATAATGTTCCCTCACCTGGCTCATGTGTGCCCAGCCCAATTTTACTTTTCAAGTGTGTGTGTGTGTGTGTGGGAGGGGTGGGCTGCTTTTAACCATGTAAAGCACTTTGTCCTACATTTCTGTATGAAAAGTGCTTTGTAAATAAAGAGTGATTGACTGATTGATTGATTCACTGAAGCTGTTTGTGTACTGTGATGAACTCTTACTGAAACTCAAATAAACCATTCCTCTGCAGATGATCTGTTAGTTGTTTGACAACAACTCTTTCAAGAATTTTGAGATAAAAGGAAGGTTGGTGAATGGCCTGTAATTAGCTAAGACTGCTAAGTAAAGTAACAGTTTCAGTAACACTTTAACTAGCTCCAGCTTGAAAGCCTGTTGTACACAGCCGATTATAGAGATAGGCTGAGCATATTTAAGATTGAAGCATTAATTAAGTCTTTGAGCAGTCTGTAGAAATGGAAATAGCGAGCGGTGAGGAAAAAGGCTTTGCAGAGAAACCTATAATGTAATCTCTGCACACTGTCCTCGCTTACCTTTCTATTTATTCAGTTACAACGTTTGGTCTTTGAGACCATGGTCAAGTACTGAAATGTTGTAACTGAATAAAAATAATAGCAGTTCAACTCAGTTCAATTTTATTTATATAGCACCAAATCACAACAACGGTTGTCTCAAGGTGCTTTATATTGTAAGGTAAAGACTCTACAATGATAGAAAGAAAACAGAAAACCCCAACAATCATATGACCCCCTATGAGCAAACGCTTTGACAGCAGTGGGATGGGCGAGACAGTGTGCGGGGTTATGTTATGTGTTAGTATAGCCAACTAAAACAACACATTCTCACTCCCGAGGCGTAATATTTTACGCTAGGTGACAATAAAACATATCTCTGTCCTGAGACCTTGTGGAACTCAAACAGGTTTTAATCTGATTTTGCTTCCTGAAAGATCTCATCACCTGCAACAGTCACAGGCAGTGTGCAAAATATATGTAGAGCAAAATACACACTTCTCTGTTTATGTGGATTATACTTTTGTAATAATGGATTGTTATTACACAATGAATAGTGTGTGGAATAGAATTAATTTCCCAATGAACCTCCTCAAATTAGACACAATTAGACACAGTGGGGCTGGTTCAGTGTCAGGAGTGTGGGTATGGGGAGACGGGAGTGGGACAGCTAAGCCTGAGCCTGTGTTTGTCTGTTTGGCCCCGCACCACGTTGTCACATAAATGATTTAGTGTATGGAAAGTAAAGCAGTTTCCTTCATGTGGACTTCTCTATGAGTTTAACCCTCATAATGTCCTCCCGATTTCCATACAATTTTGCTCCTAAATTTTTTAAATGGCAGCACATAATCACACCTGTGGTCCTCAGGGGTCAAAAATGTCCCCACTTCATTTGACTATTTTTTAAAGTATAAAGTATAAATTGTCAATCAATTCAGTGTTACATCTTAGTTTTACTTAAGACCAACACATTAACACATAATTTACCCAACATTTTACATTTTAGGGCCACCAGACCTT